AACGGTGATAGATAGCTTTAGTATCGTAACATGGATCTTGTATTTGTCAGATATACTGTCTAAACTGTTGGATGAATTTGTAGTGAGCAAGATGCTTTCTGTTTCACAACGTTCTCGGTAGTAGTGACACTCGAAGACTGAATAAAATACTAGTATTCATCGTCATATAACGCCGACAATATATATCGACCTGTTCCAATAGTACTTAACTGTTACAAAATTCTTTAAATGCTTTTGGCCCCGTTACGCGGTAAAATGTCTTAATAATTTTCTTGCTCCGTCTAGTCGGTTGTTTTCTTCGATGATATCTTCCACCATGTACTTGGATAGAATGTTGAATTTGAATAAATGATCTTGTAGTGTGATTAAGCCTTTAACCCATAAAGCAATACAAACCCCAAGAGAAGGTGGGTAAAAACCTCCAACATTACAACAATAAAGTTTCATAAAACCTGATCTGCTGTTTGTTATAGTTATGTATATGGTATGCAATTATATATAATGGCATTTAAGAGACTATTGAAGGTATACATTATGTATGTTGACAAGTTTCCATGACAACACTATAATAGCAACTGAGGTCAGGAGTGTAGAATTCCGTGCACACGGTTATCAGTACTCTTATTATTAAAGTAAATACGGTAAAACCCACAAAAATACTTCCATTAGCACATATTGACACCAAATATGTCAGGGAAATTTATATTAGGGCATATGAATATAAATTGGACTTCCAAACTCCTGAGAAATGAACCTACACTCAAATCAAACTGTTATGTGGTAGTAACTTCTATTTGCGTAAACGTCCTGACGCATCAGTCGTAATCACTGACTGAACTTGACAATCAGTACGAATCATCACATATTTATATAGTTTGGTCGGACACAATGTGCACAGATCGAGTCATTGGCTTACATATGATTAATCTGCCATGATTATGTTAATTTACATGTCACTTACACCTTGGATTCTCTTATCTAGGAAACACGAACATTCTTCACGCTGCCATGCGTTCAAAGTGACGGCAATCACTAATGCACCTCACTTAGGTGTAGCAACTAAAAGGAAATAACTCTTCACTAATAAATCGAAACACGACACTCCCCTCCTGGCATAACTACGCCACTACAAGTTCCATACAATACAAATGTCATTCATAAAAAGTCACTATACAATAACCTATCGCTAAATCATGGAAATAAGTAATGCTACACAACCAGTGGGCGCGAATTCACTATAGCACACACTATAGCTCCCACGTGCCGCCCATTTGTGAGGCGTGAGGTGGATTGAAGATCCATGTCACTTGGTTCTGCAAGAGAAAGTCCTTGACATTCGAGTCTTCCGTAGCAATTTCTTGTATGTCCAACTCATGCACCGCCCAGACAAAGTTAGTTCCTCGATCCGATCGAAATTGTTTGACTGGTCCTCTCAATGCCATGAACCTTCTCAACACGTTGACGAACAAACTGGTTGACAGTTCTGCGACCAGTTCAATGTGAATGGCCCTTGGAGCCATACATGTGAACAGTATGGCCCAAAGTTTTGCATTTGACTGTCCTCCACGTGTACGCCGAAAGCTAACTGACCAAGAACCCAATGTGTCTATGCCGACGAACGTGAACGGCGGCGATACCTTGCAACGATCAGTTGGGAGATCTGACATCTTCTGCGAAGCTAATGTTCTACGTAGCTTCTTGCAGGTAACACACAGACGCAACATGGCTGAAATCTGTCTCTTTACTCCAATAATCCAAAAACCGTTTGCCCTAACAGCTCCTCCGTCAAGTGTCGACCTTGATGTTTGACCTTGTTATGATAATGTCTAATCAGGAGTGTGGCGACATGGTTTCCTTTTGGAATAATTGGATTTGTTTCTAGCGATGTGGGTTGTATTTTGTTGAGCCTACCGCCAACTCTGATGATTCCGTGACTGTCGAGCACCGGAGAAAGCGGAAGTAGATAACTATCTTGTGGAAGTCTCCTTTACTGATTCAAACACTCCTTACGATAAACGTCGTGTTGCACAGCCCGTATTATCTCGCGCTCCGCGTCCTTCACGATATCCACGACCGTTTCAAGGGCATCCTTTGCAGATCCGCTCTCATATTCTTTTCCACGAAACCTCAGTGAACGTTTGAGAAATGTCATGCCCTTAACAAGCTTGTCCCAACTTGAAAATTTGAGGAATCGATCTGTGCCTAAACGTGTGTCCTCCATTATAGCAGTCTTGGAAACGACCATTTCCGGACGTACTTCCTTATCGATGTCTGCCATGACAAGTGAGAAGATGTCCGTCTTCGTTTTGATTTGGCTGAAATCAGGTCCTTGCAACCACATGGACGTCTGTATATCCTTTGCATGGACTGATTTTGTTGCCAGATCAGCAGGGTTTAAAGCTGTTGGAACGTGTCTCCACTGAGCCGGATCTGATGCGCTCCGTATCCTGTCCACCCTATTAGAGACATATATCACAAAACTATGTTACTGTCTGTCTAGTAGTAAATGGCGTCAAATTCTATATCCAGGTGTTCCAACGCTGTCTGTGCGACTTCAATGCAGAGAACAGCCGCACAAAGCTCAAACCGTGGAATAGTGTGACCCTTCTGAGGTGCCACCTTGGCCTTGCCGAGAATGAAATAAACGTCCTCAGATTCATCCTTCCTACATGTCCGTATATACGACACAGCACCTATCGCATCCTTAGACGCATCGCAAAAGGTGTTAAGTTCCCTTGACACGACTTTCGAATCTTGTACAGGTTTGCAAGCCTTAGGAATACTTAGGGTTTCCAGGGGAGCAAGAGAGTATCTCTAATCTTTCCAGTCAGATGAAGTTTCAGCGTAAGAGGGTCATCCCAATCATGGGGAGAGGATATGCATGATCTGAGCAGTAGCCTTCCCTTTATTGACACTGGGTCGAACAAACTATTGATTGTCGATAAAACTCCTTGTTTAGTGTAAGGTTTGATGTCTGAGGAAACACGAAATGTGAAATTGTCTGTGTTGAAGTCCCAGATTAATCCTAATCTGGACTGTACAGGTAGGTCGTCTTTACACAAGTCCAGATTCTTGATGTCTTTTGAAAGATCCTCCTTGTCAAATGCCTGAAGCACATTCTTGTCGTTTGAGGCTATCTTGTGAAGCCTGAGATTCCCTTCCTGTTTGAGAGTTTGTTGAGTCCTTCGCATGATGTCGATGGCTGTGGCCGAATCTGAGACCGATAACAATCCATCGTCCACGTAAAAGTTCCTTTTGATGAAATATCTCACGTCGCAGGCAGCACCTTCCACTGTCTTGCGCAATCCGTACGTCGCGACAGCCGGCGAAGGACCGTTCCCAAAAACATGCCTTGTCATCCGATATTCAATCAACGAGTTGTCCATGTTGTTGTCCTAGTACCAGAAGAACCGTAGAAAATCCCTATGATCCTTCTCAACCACGAAACAATAAAACATGTGTTCGATGTCTGCTGTTATCGCCACACGTTCTTTCCGGAAACTCTGTAGGACTCTTAATAGACTGTTAGTTAAGTCTGGGCCATTGAGAAGTACAGAGTTCAGGGATGCTCCCTCAAACTTCGCCGATGAGTCGAATACCCCTCTAATTGTTTTCAGGTTTTCGGGGATGATACACGCCAAACAGAGGCAAGTACCATCTTTCCTGATGTTCGGGAATGTCTGGTGCAACTTCTGCATGACCCTTTTCCAGTATTTTCTTCATGAAGTCAAACATGTCCTGTTTTATCTTACTGGATCTTTTCATACTGTTTTCCAGTGACTTGGCTCGTTTTAACTCCATATCATGGTTGTTGGGGAGCCTCGTTCTAGGCATCCGGAAGGGCAGTGGAGCCACCCAGTTATCCTTATTGTCCTTATGCAATTTGGAGTCCATTATTTCCAAGAATTCCTTGTCTTGAACAGACAGAACTCGTTTGTTGTCCTCGGGAGTCTTTTGGAAAATGATGTCATCCTCCTTCACCCTAACGTCCATGTTATTGGGCAGGGATTAAGAGAAGTCGGTCTGCCGTTGGAAAGAGTGCGTATCTTATTGACGTTCACAAAGTCTGTTTGGTGTATAGAGCCAAGACATGTCTCCCCTATGACGACCCATCCGAGTTGTAATCTTAGTGCAAAATGAAGACCTGGCTTACCAGTTCTTTGATCAAGGATATGATGTACCTCTTGGAGGTTGCGTACAATGAGAAGCGATATACTGGCTAATTCATCTATTGGCGGTATGACGTCCTTCAAGTCCTGCAGGTGCCTAAAGAGTTATACAACCTCAGGGGATGGAATCTCCTCTCTTACGTCTCACATGAGTTCCTGTGCAGAACATCATGGCATACTCACTGTTCTGTCCACATTCATTGAAATGATCCAGCAGAGAAGATTTTACCAAAGTCATGTTGCTCTGGTCATCGATGATTGTATAGATAGTCAGTGCTTCCTCATATCTACCTTCAGGGTAAATTCTAGCAAGTACTATTTTGCCACAGGATTTACTTGTAATAGTCGGATCCCCACAAACCTGGGTACAGAATGAAGTGCTCACATTGGTCGTTTCGTCCCCTGTCTCGAACTCCCCTCCATGAACTTTTGTAGACAGAGAGCTTGGTTTCCCAACTTTCCCTTGTGATGAGTTTTCCGTTGAGGCGCCATGTATATGTAGGGCTGATGGGTGGTTGGTACCATGGCAAATTTCACACAGGACAGATGCTGAACAGTTCTTGGCCAGATGCTTTTCAGACCCACAACAACGAAAGCACAATCCATTTGTAAACAGGAAATCTTTCCTTTCCTGAATGGGCTTCGCCCGGAAGGCTTTACAATTGTTTAACGAGTGTCGCGTCTTGTGAGTGGGGCACTGATCAGCCAATTCAGATGGCACCCTCTGGGTATCTGTTTTCCGAACTGCAACTGTTGTCTTGACCGGTTTGCTTTGAGGTTGTTGACTCTTCGTATAGCTGTCGGCTTCGAAGTCAAATCCAGGACCATTCATCATTTTTGACATATATTTATGTAACTAACAAAATAGTCAAAAGGAGGAAAAGGCACATCATGGTTTCTTTTAAAGTTTGTTGCTCTGTCGCGCCACTTATTCTGCAGGTTCTTAGGTAACTTGATGACAACAGGGTTGATACCAGCGGTAGTATCAAAATGGCCTAACAACTTCTCATACTTAGGATTGGCCTTACATGACTGTATTTCCATGAGGATGTCAGCAAGTTCATTAAGTTTCCCCTTTTCTTTCTCTGTAATCTTTGTAAAATTTGCCAGTTTCTTCTTCATGGATGCCTCTATCAATTTTGGGCTTCCATAGCGTTCGTCCAACCGCTTCCAAATCAGACTTAAACCTCTAGCATAGTTGTCAGTACTAGCGTTCCGTATGCTGGTGGCGTGTTTTCCTGACTGAGGTCCCAGCCACTTTATTAACAAATCTATCTCTTCTGCCGCAGACACCTTCATCTCATCCATTATAGAACAAAAGGTGGCCCTCCATGACAAGAACGACTCTGGTTTATCATCAAATTTTACAAGCCTGGACGACAACAGTTCCTTTCTCATTAAAAACTCTGAAAAACCTTGGAATGGATAGTGGTGGTTGTTAGAGTGCCCTTGATTCCAGACATGTTCAATGGGTGGTTGTACTATTTCTAGACCTTGTGCTGGACATTCAAGCTTGGCATGATCTGGCCTGACACTAATGGCCGATGAATTTAAGGGTAAGTGTTCTTCTGTATGAGGTAACTGTTTTGCACAAATGCTGTTGTTAAACTGTTTATTCTGTTCTTCAACACGGTCTTGTGTAATACCTTCTGGAACTTCATGTTTGGAAAAATGTACAGACTGGCGCGAGATACGATCCATCTCGTCATACATTGCATCTAACTCTCTTTTTGCCACAGCAGCCTCCTTTTTAGCAGACAACATTGTTAGCCTAGCTTCCAATTTGTCCTTTTCCCTCTGTAGTTCAACCTACTTGGCTGCAAACTCTAATTTAGTTTTGGCTGCTCTAATTTGGCCATTTGTTTCATCAAAATAGAGCTTCCTGATCTTGACAACCTGGTACTTGATATGTGGCTATGATTTGTGAATTGGTCTCGGTCTGTTGATCTTCGTTGGTCTTTTGGTTCTGGTTGGTCTGAAGTTCTTGTTCTCTCTCATCAGTTCTGATCCGTACTAGGTATGCTTGAAATTCCTCTGAAATTCTTTGGTAAGCACTGAAACTGTTTTCGAGGCGACCTTGTAATGAGACCAGTTCATCTCGGTTACATATGTCTGATAAGTATACAATAAATTCTTGCTCAATTTCCTTTCTGATGTTTCACACCCTTTGTGTATACTTATATAGCTATAATCTCTGTAAACAGGCCTGTTCCTGGTTCAGTCAGCTTCCGTGACCTTTGACCCTGTCCTTTCGCTTTATCCATGCCTTTGGATCTTGTTGTGTTGCGTATATCACTGTCAGATGTGATAACAGGTGTTTTTACTGTAGTGTGATTAAGCCTTTAATTCATGAAGCAATACAAACCCCAAGAAAAGGAGGGTCAAAACCTGCAACATTAAAACAAAAGTTTTCATAAAACCTGATCTGCTGTTTGTTATGATGTACATTTCAGGACCCCCGAGCTATCCGTTCTCCCTTGGGGAGGGGGTAAAGTTTACTATAGTTTATTTAGGGAAATAACACACTTGGGTATATTTTATCCATTTTCAACAGAAAATTACTCAAACTTAGTCAGATTCATCTTTGGTGAATGAGAGTATTACTTTGTAAAATTGGGATTCCTGCCCGATCCCCAGGGGCTAGGGCGGGGCCCCAAAGGGAACATTTACCAATATTTTCAAATTCTTATTCTTTGATGACATGACAAGTATTGTATTTCACTGAGTTTACATGCTGATTTCCACATCACATCTAAACAATAAAATAAAGCTACCAGTACCTATAATATAAATCAGGTGACCGCTAAGGCCCTTGGGCCTCTTGTAAACAATTACGTGACAGATTTTATGATGAAAAGATTAAACGATAGTCTCTGTGCAATTAATATATGACTATTTACATCTATTGATATTTACAATCAAATATTATATTTGGCAGCCAATTTGTTCGATATCGATGTGTTTCTTTAATCCTTTACACATTTTAAGCTTTTAAGTTTTGGTTTGATTTGTTATTTTCGTGAACATCTCTTTTTACAGTAGTGTTCGCCCTAAATGACTGATATTGTCGATGGGCCGTAAAACAATACAAAAACAATAAAACACTGCTTACTTCTGTAGCATAAAAAGCAGTTTTTGAAGTAATGGGGATGATCAATTCAGCGATTGTTAGCACTATAACGTCGGCATCGGATCTACGCTATCACACCAACATTCCTGCTTCCAGCACACACACACACACACACACACATAAATACCCGGGTTGTCTACTGCAACATATGAACTCCATGCATTTGTTCATAAAATCAATTCTGTGGACACCAACATAGAGCTGTGGACACGGTGTCCATAGTCACTGTGAAGTCTTGTCACACGCCAAGCACATGATACTGTATAAAATGAGATCTTCGTTGTGTATAAACTTTCGTCGTTTTCGTGGTTGCTATGGAACCACGAACATTAATACAACGAATATTTCTACACCTCGAAAGAATATGTGAAACCGATGTTTTCAACTAATTGAAGTTCTGAAATGTATGCATTTTCGCGGAAAATTTACCTATTTCCTATTCCAGTTTATATACTGATTAAACATTTCCGTGTGATGTAGTCAGAGCGATTCACAAATGAATATTTTAAGATAATTAAAAAATGAATTTTAAATAAAGGTATTTTACCGAAATGGACATGTGTAATCAAGCTATTGTATAAATATAATTATAATATTTATTAATTAAGTATATGACTAATTAAGTGAAACGGCAGACATACTGGGCGTCGAAAGATGCAACACTTCCACCCTAATTATATGTACATTACCTGTGTGATAAATAATGTAATTGATTGACAACAACAGAGAAGTATGACAAATGTGACTCTTTGTCATTTTAAAACATACCGCAAATGTGTTACGGCGTCGGACCAATGATTCTCGGAATGAGTGATATATTTCGTTGCACGGGCTGACCACGAAAATTAATAAATTTTGTTGTACGTACTAACCACGAACGTTTGTACCAACGAAATAATTTGAAAGCTCCAAACCACGAAAGAAAGTACACACGAACATTTCATGTTTTAAATTTCATGTTATATACATTTCCTGTGATGATAACATCTTTTGTCATACAAAATATCTGTTTAAAGGTCCTCTTTATTTCATAGTGTGTCCTATGATTATCGATTTATAGTTCATAAGTATGATTATGTCGATACTTGAGTACCTTTCTGTCTTAACTTTGGCCACATAATACTTGATATACGTGTCTGTTCGGTGTGTAGACGACTTTATAGTTTAGATCTTGCTCAATAGGTCTCTTTAAATTTTAACAGAAATTTTGTCTCGTAAGTTTACTTTGAGGATTCCAAATTATTTCTTTTGAAACACAGTTATAGTGTGGAAGCGTAGGTAGTAGGCAAGATATATGCATGTGTTTTTTACGTTTACTAATTACAGTTTTTAATTAGTAAATTCAACTTTTTTTCCGAGGGAAAATATGAAGACTTGAAGATGACGAAGTCGCAAGACCAATCAATTCATTTTCGGTTGAATGTAGAACTAAAATTTGATATCGAAATTAATCATATTGATAACCATATATTCACAATTTCAAAAATTAAAAGTCGGTATAATTTGTTTTTTTGTATTACATTTATTCTAGTACAGTTGCAAGATATTTCGAGATTTATCGAAGAATTTTATTTTCATACTGAATATACATACTTACCAAATGAATGCTGCTAACGTAAGGCTAAATAAGCAGCAGTGAATTTTCAAATCTCTATGGGATATTTATTTGCTTGTGGTTTTACATGCTTTCAACAGCAAAGATCATTTCAGGAAGGATCCGTATGGGAGCTAGATTCTAGATTTCATTCAGTCAAATACTGTTACATGTACAATATGTACTTTTCTCATTCGAATGTGTCATATTAATGATAGATAAATGCACCATAAACAAGACCCCGCCGTAAATGCAAACCTGGCGATTGACAACGACTTCGGATCCTCATCCTGCAAAATTGTTTCAGGTTGTTTATGATGTCATTATCGCTGGTGCCTATATACATTTATCACATAATGTACTGTGTCATCAAGTAGATATATCCATGTCATATTGTTTTGAGTATGAACCCATGCAATATGACCTATCAGCCCTGTGCTTGGTTGTAAGTTTTTTGTTGTTTCAATTGTGACGTCACGCCTATGACAAGTACATGACGTCACAGACTTACGCACTGGAGTCAAAATGGCGGCTTTTTACCTTTCAATGTTGCATGAAAATTGTCGTTTTACACGAATAAATGCCACAAATCTTGATAATGTGATCAAAAGGATCTTACACTTGTTTTCATTTCATATGAAATTTATGAAAATCGTCACGAATTCTTCATTTTAGCTCGTTAAATTGAAAAATTCTTATACTCGTTTCATAAATTTCATATGAAACGGAAACTCATGTAAAATCCTAATTTGTTTTTTCGTATTGCAGAATTATCGGTTCTTGTGAGCAGGTATTGATTGTTACGTCATTTGTTTCTGAGAGTAACGTCATAATTATTTTGAGAAAACAACGTAAATTTCCCACACATACTAATGATGTAACAATCAATACCTGCTAACAAGAGCAGATAACTCTGCAATACGAAAAGACGGAATACAGAACATATATTATCGGAATTAAGACGTGACTTGTAATAATATGAAGATAACAAACAAAAATCATAGAAAAAAGAAAAAAAGAAAAAAAGGAGAGTTCATATTGCTTTCTCATACCTTTTTGTCTTAATGAAACTAGTGTATACTGCCAATGCACTGTCTTACAACTTTCTGGAAATAATCAGTACCAGGTCACAGGTTCTGGTAATATTTTAGTCAAAGCACAACTACTACATGTAAGTTTATAAAACAATGAAACGGCAAACGTCTAATATTATGAATGGTACTTCAGGAAAATGATGCTGTCAACACTTTTCTGATAAAAAAACAAAGATTTGTCCAATCATATGAGCTATATTTGCATTCATATTTCAACAAAATAATACATAAAAAGAAAACACAATCTTGAAAAAACTATTTCTAAGAAACATCATTATCTATCTCATTTTCAATGTTGGCGCCTCCCAATCAGGTTATTGTAATCAGACTATAACAGGCTATCCCATGAAAATAACTAAAGGAGTCTAATTAGTGTGTTTTTCTTCATTTTGACTTGTGCAATTATAAAACGACATCAGAGTAATACGTAATAAGGTATTTATCATATTTATAATAAATGCACAATAGTGTTATTAAGCTGAAAACGCACAACGTTACAAATTTCTGGTGACATCATTTCCTCACGATTGAATTTTCGCAAACGAAATCGATATACCAAAGGCCAATTGGCTTAAAAGGTCACCTGAGTATTAACTAAAATGGTACATAAATCCATATTATATCATAGTTCAGGAAAACTGTTTTAGAAAAAATCAGTCCTTGGCTTTAATTTTCAACATAATTTGACGTTTGTTCTGTCATTTCTTTTTCAATGTCTGATTGTTATCATACACTTTGTATTTTACACTCTTTCAGTCTCTGTTTTTCAGAACATATTTTTTTCTAGATGGCTACTTCGCATTCTTCCTTTTTCCTATCTGTCGTTTGATGGCCATGGTTTCCTTTCAGCCCATTATACTTTTCCCTTATTTTTCTTGCTTGTTGCCTCCATTTTCTTCTTTTGGACAGCTTTGCCATATTCGATGTTCATTTTAATTTCATCTTG